CCCCCCCAGTTACGCAGTGGATTGTGCCATCCAAAGTCTTACCAAACAGAGCAGCACCCATAAACGGCATGGTGCATAAACCTTGTTTGGAGGCTGAGTCAATGTTTTAGCCAGAGGGCCCATCTACAGAACAGAATGCGTCATACTCTTGAGGCCGGCTTGACCAGATCTATGGTGGCCTCAGTGGCGTAACAATCACCATAGCGACCCAGGCGGTCGCTATGGGGCCCGGAGCACAGTGGGGCCCGGCCAGATGCCGTGCTGGCCGCCTGGGTCGCTATGGGATCTTCTGCTGCTGGATTTCACTGGCGTCTGAAGACGAACACGCCGCTATTCAGATCATCTGCGCAGCGGCGCGTTCTTCTCCGCAGTCAATGAGAGCCGGCATCAGTGGGGGGAGCAGGCTGGACCCGGTGTTCTACCCTGTCGCGAGCCTCTGACGTCACCGGCAGTGGAGGAGGAGGCGGCGGGGCCCGTGCTCGGCAGCAGGGGATGAGGCGGCCTTGGTGATGAAGAAGGAGGCGGGCCCGGCGACGGAGGAGGTAGGGAGTGCGACCAGCCCACCTGAGGGTGATCCTGCAGAGCCCACCATAGAGAGTCTACAGTGGGCTCTGCAGGGTCACCCTCAGGTGGGATCTCGAGTGGGCTCTGCAAGGGGTATAACTAGAAATCACGGGGGCCCCATACAACATTTTGCTATGGGGCCCTGTGATTTCTAGTTACGCCCCTGTGGCCTCCATTATAATATCCGATGACAGTCTCAGGTCCTCTACCCCTGCGATGGCTGACTTATCCTCTGTTTCCGTCCCCGAGGAACTACACAGAGTGCTGCCCGGCATGTAGAAGTGCTCAGTGCTACATGAAGATCAAATAAAAAACGTGGCCATGGGTTTGTTTCCATCCTGTGACCGCCTCGGGGGGGGGGGGATGACGACATTCATGACAGTGGCCGAAAAAAGGATAACCATGCCGATCACTGACCAACCGAGTCTTGGGAAGAGTCCATGTAGCCTGAAACACATCACATCCCCATTGACCTGTCTTTCGTCATGAAGGACAACACATGCAGTTCCTCTAAAGCCTCCTTGGAACAGAAAGTATCAAAACGTCTTAACTCCATCACATATCTCAAAATGAAGAGGATTTATTCATTTCGGCACAGTGGGCGGAGTCATGCAAATTGTTCCTTTACGCCCCATCAGCCAGATACGAATGGAATGAGACATGAATTGCTTCCGTCACCGCGCTGGACACTGATTCGGAGGGAGGGCCCATCAACCTCCGCTATGTCCCACTACGATCCCTTCACCGCTTCGATTAGGCCGTAAAATCATTCGGGACAGGTCCTCTTCAGCTTATGTTTGGACTGTGTCATTTGTACCCTTTTATAATGCGGTGTGCAGCGCGCTGTAATGTATTAATGAAGCGTTACGATAACGTCGGAGACCTCAAGCTGGGCATAGTATTTTATTTGGGCCTAAAAAAGTACCTTACATAATAATATACCAACATTCATAACCTGTTCAATGTAAAAGAAAAACAACAAAAAATTTACACATATTAAGATGTCCTCATCTGCATCAGGCAATTGTTCTACGGATGCTACAGCTACTAAAATCCCGGCAAACATTTGTCGTAGGCATTAGTGGACATGGGGTGTTTGATGTGCAGTCAGATTTCAGTGCAAAACAGGATGCGCGCTCAGTGGATCTTCTGGTGTTTGCGAAGGTCTGATTTCTGAGAGAAACATTTCCCGCACTCCGAACACGGAAAAGGCCGCTCGCCCTTGTGAATCCTCTGGTGCCTAAGAAGGCTTCCCTTTTGATTAAAACTGCTCCCGCACTCTGCGCAGGAAAAGGGACGCTCGCCAGTGTGAATTATATGGTGCCTAAGGAGGAGTCTTAGCTCTATGAAACATTTCCCGCACACCGGACATGAAAAAAGGTGCTCGCCTGTGTGAATTCTAAGGTGTCTGTTAAAGTCCCCTTTCTGAATAAAAGACTTCCCGCATTCTGGGCAGGAAAAGGGATGTTCCCCCGTGTGAATCTTTTGGTGCCTAGAAAGGTCCCCTTTCTCGATAAAACCTTTCCCGCACTCTGGGCACTGAAAAGGACGCTCATTTGTGTGAGTCTTCTGATGTCTAAGAAGGTATTGTTTCCGAGTGAAGCTTTTCCCACACTCGGGACAGGAAAAAGGACGCTCACCCGTGTGGTTCCTCTGGTGTATAACAAGGCTTTCTTTTTTAATAAAACATTTCCTGCACTCCAAACATGAGAAAAGAGCCTCGTCATTGTGAAGTCTCTGGAAATCTTTTTTCCGCGTAAAACATTTCCCGCCCTCTGAACGTGGGAAAGGTTGCTCGTTTGTGTTGGTTCTTTGGTCCGCAGCGGGAGACGACTCTTTTATAGAAGACTGATCCTTTTGGGAACACGGGGGTGTTTTACGTCCCTCCGAGGTATTCTGGACGTCACCTGCACCTCCCGCAGAGAAACATTTTAGGAACATCGAAAACATTGATGTTGTACAACATATTACATAGTATTTGAGGTGGAATAAAGACACTGGTCCATCAAGTCCAACCTTCACCTTTGTTAGATGAGTAAATGAGTGGGTGGTGGAGATACGTTGACGATGTTCTTGTAGAAGAAGACTTCACAACTCACACCTCACGACTCAACTCACACCTCACTACTCAACTGACCACCACTCAACTCACCCCTCACCACTGACCTCACCACTCAACTCATCCCTCAACTCACACCTCACACCTCTCAACTCACCCCTGACCTCACCACTCAACTCACCCCTCAACTCACACCTCTCAACTCACCCCTGACCTCCCCACTCAACTCACCCCTCAACTCACCCCTCAACTCACCCCTCAACTCACCTCACCACTCAACACACCTCTCAACTCACCACTGACCTCACCACTCAACTCACCCCTGACCTTACCACTCAACTCACCACTCAACTCACCCCTCACCACTGACCTCACCACTCAACTCACCCCTCACCACACCCCTCACCTCACCACTCAACTCACCCCTCACCACTCAACTCACCACTCAACTGACCCCTCAACTCACCACTCACCTCACCACTGACCTCACCACTCAACTCACCCCTCACCTCACCCCTCAACTCACACCTCACCACTGACCTCACCCCTTAACTCACCCCTCACCTCACACCTCACCACTCAACTCACCCCTCACCACTGACCTCACCACTCAACTCACACCTCACCACTCAACTCACCCCTCACCACTCACCTCACCACTCAACTCACCCCTCACCACTCCACTCACCCCTCCACA